GATTAATTCTTGAATACAGACTTAGCAACAATAATAACTACAAAGGCAATTATCAATTTTATATAGATGGTGCCATGGGTAAAGCATTAGATCAATCCATAAAAATGGAAACAACCTGGTTACAAACAAAAGGACCAAATCCAGAAAGATTATTTTAAGCAGCAATTGACAATTGGCCATTATTCACAAGGGTAGAACTAGTAGCAATCCTTTTAACAATTCTATCAGTCTCAAATAATAGTAACATAGAAATCATAACCAATAGTGTCATATATATCAACACTTATACAAAAATAAGCAAGCAGTATTCCAAGAAAATACTAAAAAGATAAATAAAAACATTCAATTGGCAACTATAGTTAAGACTGGTGAATACAGTTATGAAAAAAAGACTTTAATTAAAACTCGTCAAAGTCAAGGTATATAATAAAGACATATTAAATAATCAAGTTAACCAACTAATTAAGGCTGCAAAAGAAGAAACAGAAGTTAGATAGAAAGCACTATCAGTAATAACTCTAATTACAGTATTTGCATGGAATAACATTTCAATTAATATCTCAACAAGAGCATTCATTAAGGATTATAACAAAAGAAGAATTCTAATACAATGGATATCTCTTAATAAAATATAGCAAAGATGAAAAAGGAAATATATAACTGTGATACTATTGACTGGAGAAATTTCTGGTAGCACAATAACAATAAGGGATCACTAACTATATCTTTTAAACAAATAAAACTTAAAACATTTGAAATAAAACTTATATACAATGAACTGTTAACAATAAACAACTTGATATAATGCAAAGCCTAAGAATTACCAGCAAGTATCAAATGTATCTTTTGTCAAAAACAGAATGAAACACTAGATTACCTGCTAATTTGTAAGGAACTTTAAGAAAAAAAAAACCAAATATGAAATAGTATCCTTAACAAACTTCTTACATTATGAATTTCAAGCATATTATGAAAAATAAAGAAAAATAAAAATAAAATCTAACCTTAATTAAAATATTAATGAAGAAGTGAAGAAAGGACAAGTTATCATTGACAAAAGAAATCATCAATATTAGCATAGAACTTTAAACAAAAGATGATATTTTAGAATAGGCCAATATTTTCTGAACAATTCAAATATATAAAGCACTTGTATAAAAAATTTTAAACAAAATATTGCAGTTTTGAATTAAATATTTTTGTTAACAGATATGGAACACAAGATGTAAAAGAATCTATAAACATGAAAATCTGATAATAAAGGAAAAAGAAAAAGAAGAGACTTTAATCTCAAATCAAATAGCAAAACTATATTATAAGAGAAGAAAAAGAAGATAGATCAGGTATCTGAAAATAGAAACAAGACAAAAAAAGAAAAAAGCCAAGAAACAAGTAATTCCAAAGATTTACAAATGAAAAAAAGGAAAAACATAATATCCAAGCAATTAAATCCAAATGAGGATATTAAGAAAAAGCTCACAGAAGTATTATGGAACAAAATTAAAGAGTGAATCAAATAGTTGGGAATGTAAAGTAATCAAGATTTTGTTAAGGTAAACTGTAGTAATAAACTGCAGATGATGAACTCAAAGCTTTCAAGGAATGGCAGCAATAAGAGAGCAACTTTATTCATCTTCAAGGTTATATCTAGAGATTTTCTAATCAGCGATGGATATTCAAGTATTAGCTTAGTTTATACATAAAAATCTTTGTACTATTACACTGTTATTTGAAATGTTAAATAAATATAATAAATACTTGTTTGATTATAAAAAAAAATAAAAAACTTTATATTTTATAATCTTTTTTTTACAGGTTTAATTTACAATTCATAAGTCAAATTTTTATAAATATTGTATTATAATTTAATTATTTTATCTATTTACATATATTTTTGAATAAAGTAAATCAATTATAAAGAGATTCAATTATAAGCAATAATAATAAATATAATACTTTAATAATTTTTTTAATTATATTTATTATTTTTTATATAATTTTTAATTAACTGTGATTTATTAACATTATTAAAATACAAATAGTTAAAAATACAATAAATTTAAAAGAGACTATTTGATAAAATTGTTTAACAAATAAATATAAATCTTTGAAAAAAAAAAATATTTTTTTAAAAAATACAGTATATATGATTGATAATTGATTGCAAAATATATACAGCATATTATAAAAACACAGTATATGGTATTTATAAAGATAATATTAGAATATTAAAAAAGAAACAAAATCTTTGAGATTAATTTTTTATTTATTAAAATATCAAAGAAAACAAATAAATAAATAATATAGGCTACAATAAATCACACATTTAATGCTTATCAATATATACTGTATACTATATAATGTATAATTTTAAGAATAAATAAATTGTTTTTTTAAATTTTGCCATAAGATTGATAAAAGATATGAATGAATTTATGACATTCGAATTTGATATGATAATTTATTTTTTTTTTTAAAAAAAAAAAAACTTTTAATGTTAAAAAATCTATTAGATGTTGATATTTAACATGTAGTATATACATACAGTATAATATTATCTATTATACATATTATATTGAAATCGAGATATTACTTGTATTGTATATACAGTACATGTATAAATTTGTAATATAATCCGTGTGATATATAGAACGAGTGCTTCTAAATTTCATTCACGAAATATGGTCTAAATCGCCAAGGAAAGATGCAAGTAAAATCGCAAGTGAAAGATGTAAGATAATCAAATCGAACACCACTTATTTTTAGTAAAGATTGTTTAAAAAAAAATACAAGCAAAGCATTTCATCATTTATTCTTTGTTCAATAACTACATTTTTAATGACATTTTCGTATATGCAGTATATGTACGATAAAATGTGATTATTATTTTTAAAAAAGAATCAGTTGATTCATTTTTATTTCCTTTAATTCCGAACATAAAATAATAACTTTTTTTTGTCGTTATATCGTATGTTCTTAAAAAAGTTTTTTCATTTGCATTTTTGATTAAAAATTTTATCACTCTCACGTAGTCATCTTATTTACCTGATTTTTACAGTCTCCATCGCATGGATTATTTATTCCGCATTCGAGATTGTCATTCACAGTCTGAGGCAATAAACAAGACTCGACCGTATGAGCAATAATCAAACATTCCACCATTATTGCATTACGATAAACAACGATTCCTGATTCGATTTCATTCGATTCCTGGTCTAACACAAAATTTATTAAATGATCATAACTCACTAATGTTTTCATGCATGCGAGTCTATGCAACTCTTGTGATTCCAATTTTCGGAACCACGTTTAGAACAATCAAACATGTCCATTGATTATTATAACGAAATTACATTAAGAGAGTAGGAATTTTACATCCAACAGAAAATATAGGGTCGATTATATCCATATAAAAAAGTTATCATGTACTGTATTTAATTTTTTCTCTTTGTCCTCGATTCTAAAATTTGTTTTCTTTCTTTGTACAAATGGGACAAAGCAATATTTTTGGATCATAAATAATATTAACCGAATCACCTGGGTCATTATTCGGAATAACGATGAGTCATGAATCCAAAGGTAAAAGAAGGCGGAATGCACCTTTTTATGTAAATGGATTTCGTTACGCCAACGGTAATTGGCGGTGATCATGTGCGATCGGGCAGATCCAATGGTAAGGGTGAAGTATGAAATGATGACAGGTGAGGAAAAAAAAAAAAAATTAGATTGAAGTTAGCATGAAAAGCAAGATAATCTGCTCAACACGAAAAAGTTTTAAGTTGCAACACAACAAATTATTAATGGTGCCTGGAAAAGTTCAAAGTTACGTACTGTACTTTTTTTTTTTTTTTTTATTCCCATACTACATATTCCAACCATTTACAACGCAAAAAATTAATTTGTAATAATATTGTATTAACTTCTCACAATGTAACAAAGAATCAGATTTCTTGATTATCTGACATAAAATGAACTATGAACAATTGGGAAAATTGTTTTAGCGACACAGAAATACAGTAATTTTAAATTATCTTATCTTATCATTTATCAAATCAATTGTATTGCATTGCATAGATTCACAATACATGTGTACCGGTTAAGCCATATTTAATAATAATAATATTCACACTATACCACCTCAGCCGATGGACTCCAACCACCAAACAATTCTCGAGGAGTTTGCGCTCAATTTGTGTCTGGTGATGTTGTAATGTTTGTGGGGAAAAACATAATGCATATAGATTCTTCGTCATTTGATCATCCGCTTCAGTAAACAACATCCCATTCAGTGCTTTCGCCCAAATAAGGAAAATTTAAAAGTGGGAGTGCATCATTGTTTGGGCGAGAAATTCTTTCTCAAACACTGACCGAATCGGCTGCGGAGGTGTGATGAGGTGGCCCGGTGACTTGACGTCCACTTGCCTTATTGATGTCCAATCATAGATTATAAGGATAAAATTGTTCCAAAAACAAAAAATCTTGGCATATTTGTTACATCTGTAGTCTCAGAAGTGGAGAAATTCGCACAAACTTCTCGATCATCCCAATGTTCCCTTATTAATGACGTCTCCATGTGACTAAGTCCTTGTATTGCAATTATCATTGTGGCAAAGAGCTCGTGATACATCATGCCCTTTTACGGGTGCGTTATTTTTTACCAACTAGAAGAAGTCCTGTGGGGAATTCGTCAATCACCTCTGTTAACGAAAAAATGTGGTAATTGTGCATTGTGTTACTATATTGTAATAGTGAAAAAGGAATTTACTTTAGTTGTATTGTGTTTAATACAGTGGTCATTGATATTTTCTCAAATAAATATTGCATATGTGGCAATTGCCATCTATATCTGTCACCTCGATAATATATATATATACGCATTCAGACTACAGAAAATTTCGAAAAAAAAATATCCACTGCAAAAATACTTCTGCTTTAGAAATTATCTACTTGAAAAAAAAAAGACAAAACCTTTCAACTCATCAATTATCACTCAGAGAGAGATGGTTCACTTGTTTCAAATTCGATTAGAGGATGATACCCTTACTATGCGCGGCACAACATCAGAATCAGTTGGGTGTGTCCTTCGTGGTCAACTTGTCTTGGCCATCACGGAGCCCACAAAGATTCGGGAAGTCAAATTAACTTTTCAAGGAACATCAAAAATTTCTTGGACTGATGGTAATTATCTTTTTAAATTCAAACATTCTTTTTTCCTTTCTTGCACACATTCTCACCATTCAATCGTTAACTCCAATGTTAGGTGCCGGTACCAGACAATTTTATCGCGCAGAAGAGAGAATCATATACCAACATGAATGGGTTTTCCTACCAGCTCAAAAGAACCTTCATGTTCTTCAACCTGATAATTATCATTGGGATTTTGAATTGGTTTTACCTGGAACCCTACCCGAGACAATCGAAGGTTGTGAACGTGGAAGCATCGATTATCGATTAAAAGCCATCGCTGAAAGGCCTACTCTGGCAATTAACTTTACCGCCAAACGCAAGGTGACCATACAAAGATGTCTGCTACCAAGCTCACTTGAATATATGCAAAGTATGATAGTGTCCAATATTTGGACCGACAAGATGGAATATGAATTCAACGTTGACTACAAGGCCTATACGCTAGGCGACACAATTCGTGTATCCATGGATTTAAGACCATTGAAAAAGCACCTGAATATAACGAAATTTAGCTGTATACTCAAAGAATATATCACCTATCATGTTGGAATTCACGCAAAGGAAGAAGCTCGAGTTGTTTGCTGTTATTTAGATTCGGAACTTCCCGAAGAAGGCGAAACTTGGATAAAATCCTTCGAGGTTCCTCTACCAAAAACATCTTCCTTGTGCCATTACGATTCGCAAAACGAAATTATTGACATCAAACATAAGTTGAAGTTCAACGTAGCGTTCACAGAGGACGGCAAGAACCCTTCGGAATTAAGAGCTGCGATGCAAATTATAATCACTCCCATCTCCCCCACCAGTGATCGCATGATATTGCCAGCTTACAGAGAACATCAAAATGACCAGCTTTTTTTGGAAGATTGCGATTGGCCTTCTTCCCCTTCTTCCTCTGCTTCCTCGATAAGTTCATCTTCATTTTCAGATTCGCTCTCTGTAAATTCGGATACTTTACCTTCTTATCGAAGCATAGCTTCTTGTATACCTGCTCCTCTAGCAGATTCACTACTACCTCCCACATATGATAATAATCTTGTCGTATGATAATTAAGAAATTCTTTTAAGAAATCAATTATGCTTCACACACAAGGAAAATTAATTTAATATAGAGAACTTAGATTTAATTTTATTATAGAATCAAAATCTTATGAACAAAAGTAATAATACCCTTGTAAATATTATTTATTACCCAAGATTAATTAATCACTTGTATAATAAAGTCAAAATTATGTTGAATGAATAAATGCGTATCCTGCGATGCTTAATTTTTTAATCTCTTACGAATCATTATCGGCTTGCCTGTGTACGTTACAAGAATATGAAAATCTAAGGAGCTCCTGTTCATTTGACTCAAACATCTGTCATCTCTTTTCGGTGATAAAAGGAAAAAAAATTGACCGCGAATTATGTACAATGCATATTGATGTCAAAGTATTGTCTCGGGAGCATCCAATGTGATTTGTGTGAAAGCGCCTTAAACCGAAATTTTTTTATCACCAAAAAAAAATTTTTTTTTCCATGTCCGATTGGAGCATTTGTCTAATAATGTCTTACAAATTACACCTAATTTATGTGGGTGTTACCGAGACAAAATTGGCAACTAGGTGTTGTCTGAAATTTTTTACGTCATCTTTCACTATAAATAAAACCACTCCTACTCCTTGTCACTTGTTATATTGATTACATCATGTAACTTGGTGGGTGGCGGATTCGCATAGGAAAATCATCGAAAAAAAAATAATCAAAAAGCATCTTATCATTATTTATTTATGTTTATTGAAATCGATGTGTAAATAAAAAAAATACTCCAGGGATGAAAAATTTTTTTTAATCATTTGTTTTTTACAAAAAAAACATATTCGAGCTTATGGTTTTGTTATGAATTTCATTATGTATAAAAAAAAAATTTTTTTTTAATTAAATGAAATATACCGTAGATATAAGTCTTTATAAAAATATAGAAATTTGATTTGAAAAAAATAATACCAAAGCCAAAAATCATTTTTCATATACACTCGGGGGCAAATGTTTTTGGATTATTGTAACTCGATAAACATCAATGAAATTTAAAAAACAAAACTTTAAGTACTGTGTATAGTCTTGAGAATATGATAATTTAACATCAAATGCAAAAAAAAATTTTTTTAAATCATAAAGAATTCCTATTCTATGTAAATTAATTTTATAAAATTCTATAAAAATTTATTTACACTTTCTAATTAACAAAAAAAAATAAATTAATAATTCACAGTATACAATAGAATTTGGAATGTGGTTTTAAAAATATTTTCTTTCTTAATTTTAAATCATAATTTTAACTATGGTATGTTAACTTGTTTTATTTTTAATTATAATTTTATTTTTTTTTTCACAAGTATTAACCTACTTTTTTAGAATTTAATTTAGATTTTGGTATAAAAATTAATTTATTTATACAAAAAAAAACAATTTTTTATACATGTACAATATTGTAAATAAAATAAGAATCATCATTTTTGAAAGAATATTGTTAGATCAAAGATTTTTTTATTTAAATTTATAAAAACAACTTCTTTTATAAAATAAAAAAGTTGAATTCAACTTTGCTGATTAATCTTGTTGATAAATTTATTGGTTTCAAAACAGATTTTATTTTTTTATGTTTTTAAAAAAAATAAGTTGTTTGTTTGAAATAACATTTAATCCATAATGTTTTAATTAATCTTATTTCTTTTAATGATATAAATACTATTAGAAAATATAAGCCAGTTTTTTTTTAAAAATATTTAAAAAAATATTTTGCAATAAATAAACAATATATTATATATTTTCAATTTGATTTAAAAAAAATCAAAAACTTGAACCTATTGATTTTATTTTATTACTAGTATGTTAAATAAATTTGTAAAAAACAAACAAACATTTTTTTTAATATTTAATTAAATAAGATTAAAATTATAAAGCTCATGATTGATTATATTTTGTCTTATACAGTACATAAATACTGTATATGTATTTTATTTAATTCTCCTAAGCCAATTCGAACTTTTCGTTTTCTAATTTACCAAATTAATATTTCTCGGTTAACAAGATCAAAGTCAACCAGTACCGAAAAACTTTACTCCCATATCATCAGCACTGGTTCCTTGAAACAACTGAGCCACGCCACGTTTTACTAATATATCTAATGCTTTTAACAGAATTGTCTGATCTAGTTCATAAAATTCTTTTTTTTTTTTAAATGAATATTGAATAAATGTTAACTAACTTATTAGAACGACGAAACCAACAGGAATTATAATTGTGATGGTAAGTACCAAACCCTTCGGATGCTTCTCCGTGCGCAATCTCGTATACCGTCAATATGGAATTATTAAATCCATTGTCAAATACCTGTACCATTGAAATTTAATCCATTAGTATGATTGTTATCAAATGAACTTTCAAAGTGGATGTAAAATGATTGCTGATTATAAAGTAAAAGGAGTAGAGATAACAAACCCATTTATCAATTAAAGATGCCCATTCTTCAGGTTTCCTCCAGTAAATAAGTGCAGCAGTTTTCTTGGATGGTGGATACCACTCTGCCGTTCCTATAATTCAATACAACCCTTTTGAATAATTCGAAAAAAATTCCGTCTGCCCGGAAAAAAACCACGAAAATCCTTTTCCTCTACAAATCAATTATAAACACCTTGCCCGACCATTACTTCAATTATTTCTTCTAACGTTTCAAGCTTTAACCTTCCTACAGAAAAACGTGAAAAGTGAAAAAGAAATCCAACCAGTCGAATAAATTGTATGGTCTACGCACGTTTTATCCCTTGATTGTTAAATAATTCTCCATTTAATCCCTCTGATAATTCAAGACGATATAATTTATGATGCCTAAAGTATGCTAAAATGATTTCTGACCATAGTGAAGTCTGGTTTTCCCAAGTAGTTTGCGTTGGTTGAAGACTGTAATAATTCCGAGTTATAAAAATGTAAAATATGTAATGAGTAAACGAAAAAGACTGTTCGAATGCTCAATAAACAGATAGTTCTCTTTCGTCAGAAGTAATGACCAACGTGGAGAATGTATATAGTAGCCTTGACTTACGTGTAGAAAGGCGGAAAATTATGTATTAAAGGAAATTCGAAAGGTTTGGACATGATGCGTTAATGAAATTGGCATAAATAAATGTTCCTTTTCAAAGATTGATACTGTACTCATCAACGTGTGATTAATTACGTTATCAATAACTCGAAATTAAATATACTGTATATATAAAATTTCTACATTTCCTAAGTGCAAATATTATTATTATTTTTTTTAATAGAAAATTAAACTTGGTTTCAAATATATATAATTCTTAGTAAAATTCTTTTTTTTTAATTCAGTTTCTTTATAAGCATAGGTTTTTTAAATTTTTTTTTATATGAATCTCAAAGAATTATATTTAAAGAAATAGTTTTTTATTTATTTATTTATTTAAAAAAAAACTATTAATTGAAAATTAATAAAAAAATATATTGTTTAAAGTATAATATAAAATTCTATAAACAAGCAATAAGACAAAACAAGTAATTATTTCTGCTTCTATAACTTAAAACCAATTACAGTATATATAATAATTTTTTTTTTAAAAGATAATATATATTTTTTATTGATAGTTAATATCTAAGCTATATATCAAGTATCTTTTATATACAATGTCAATTTTTTTTTTTTTTTTTTTTTAGTGGAACGTACGCAAGGTGCGTGATCTTTATTGATACGTTTATATATCCAGACAGACA